CCTCCAGCAGCGGGGCTGGCACGGGGACAGGGCACCTGAGACCCCACCTGGGCACCCACCTGGGCACCTGGGACCCACCCAAGCAACTGAAACTAGGTGTGGGTGTCTCAGGCGTGTCCCAGGTGTGTTTTCCCTCCCAGGCGTGTCCCAGGTGTGTTTTCCCCCCCCAGGTATGTCCCAGGTGTGTGACCCACTCTCAGGGGGGTTCCTCATGTCCAGGTGCAGTCTCAGGGTGCACCTGGCCCAGGTGAAGGTGTGTCCCAGGTGTGTTTTCCCCCCCAGGTGTGTCCCAGGTGTGTTTTCCCCCCAGGTGTGTTTCCCCTCCCAGGTGTGTCCAAGGTTGTGTTGTTCCCCCCCTTGGTTCCCAGGTTTGCCCCGGTGTTGTTTTCCCCTCCCAGGTGTGTCCCCGGTGGTTTTCCCCCCATGTTGTGTCCCAGGTGCCCCCCAGGTGTGTTTTCCCCCCCAGGTGTGTTTTCCCCCCCAGGTGTGTCCCAGGTGTGTCCCAGGTGTGTTTTCCCCCCCAGGTGTGTCCCAGGTGTGTCCCAGGTTTGTTTTTCCCCCCCAGGGGTTGTTGTCCCAGGTGTTTGTCCAGTTGTTGTTTACCCCCCAGGGTTGTCCCAGGTTTTGTTTTCCCCCCCAGGTGTGTCCCAGGTGTGTTTTCCCCCCCAGGTGTGTCCCAGGTGCCCCCCAGGTGTGTCACTCACTCTCAAGGGGGTTCCTCATGCCCAGGCGCAGCCTCAGGGTGGGCCTGGCCCAGGTAAAGGTGGGTGTTCTACCCACCCCAGATGTGTCCCAGGTGTGTCTTCCCCCCCAGGTGTGTCCCAGGTGTGTCTCAGGTGTGTTTTCCCCCCCAGATGTGTCCCAGGTGTGTTTTCCCCCCCAGGTGTGTCCCAGGTGTGTTTTCCCCCCCAGGTGTGTCCCAGGTGTGTCCCAGGTGTGTTTTCCCCCCCAGGTGTGTCCCAGGTGCCCCCCAGGTGTGTCACTCACTCTCAAGGGGGTTCCTCACGCCCAGGCGCGGCCTCAGGGTGGGCCTGGCCCAGGCAAAGGTGTGTGTTCTACCCGCCCCAGATGTGTCCCAGGTGTGTTTCCCACCCTCCCCAGGTGCTCCCCAGGTGTGTCACTCACTCTCAGGGGGGTTCCTGACGTCCAGGCGCAGCCTCAGGATGGGCCTGGCCCAGGTAAAAGCCGTCACCAGGTCACTGTCACTCAGCAGGGGCACAAAGGTGTCCTGGCCCTGCCCATCCCGGGCAGCGAAACTCAGCGAGAAGCTTTTCTTCCTGGGGGGGGGACAAAGGGGGGGGTCACCTGAGGGGGCAGGTGTGGCAGGTGTGGCTTGGGGGGTCCCAGATCTGTTCAAGGGGGTCCCAGGTGTGTCTGGGGGTGTCCCAGGCGTGGCTGGGGAGGGTCTGGGGGGGGGTCATAGATGTGCCCAAGGGGGTCCCAGGTGTGTCTGGGGGTATCCCAGGTGTGTCCAGGGAGGTCCTGGGGGGAGTCCCAAAGGGGTCCCAGGTGTGTCGGGGGGGGTCTCAGGTGTGCCTGGGGGGGGGTCATACGTTGGTCTGGGGGGTCCCAGGCACGTCCAAGGGGGTCCCAAGTGTGTCAATGGAGGCTCTGAGGGGGAGTCCCAAGGGGGTCCAAGGGGGTCACAGGTGTATCTAGGGGGGTCCAGCTACGTCTGGGGGGGGCCCAGGTGTGTCTGAGGGGTCCCATGTGTGTTCAGGGAGGTCCTGGGGGTCCTGGGTGTGTCTAGGGGGGTTCGGGGCAGTCGGGGGGGACTCAGTGCAGGGGTCCCAGAGGTCTCACCCCTGCAGGTCAAAAGCCCGGGCCAGGATGTGCTGCAGCACGTCCAGCGACGTGATCTGAGGGTCCACGGCGAAGGAGCGGAACTCGGGGGGCTGCTGCCCTTCGCTCTTCTGTGGGGGGAGCGTCAGGGAGGGCCCAGGGGGTCCCGGAGCCCCCCCGGCCCCTCACGGCAGCCCAAGATGGCGGCACGGCCCCATCACCATGGCAACGGTGCATGCTTCCCGCCCAAACGCGCGACGCTGATTGGCCGCCGTCACCCACGTGACCCCAGTGGCGGGAAAACTTCCCGCTGTTTTGAATCTCCATGGCCACGCCCCAAACGGGTCTGATTGGTCAACCCACACCACGTGACCCGCGCGACGGGAAAACCCCCATAGGCTCCCCCTTCGAGGCCACGCCCCCAACGCTTCTGATTGGTCAAAGGGAGACCCCTCCCACCGAGAAGACAGCCACACCCCCGCAATTCTGATTGGTCAACGGGGCCCACGTGATACATGCGAGACCACCCCCACCCCGTCCTCCCCGCCCCTTCGAGATGACCACACCCACCAATCCCACGGCCGCGCCCCCTCACCTTGACGCGCACGCGCACAACCTCGCTCTCCTCCTCCAGCGCGGCCCCGCCCCCCGGCGAGACCCCGCCCCCCGCGGCCGCCGCCATGTTGGGGGGGGCTCGGAGGGTTTTTTTGGGGGGGGAAGGTTGGGGGGGATTTTGAGGCGTTTTTCCGCCTCCCCCCCCGGTGTTACGTCACCGTGCTGACGTCACGCCGCGCCCCTCCCCGCGGGGTTGGGCAGGATCCGGAGCGGCCGCGGAAGCGCCGAACGAGCCCCGTCCCCGCGGCCGCTGCCCTCAAACAACATCCGGGGCACCGCGGGGAAGTGACGTCACCGCCAAGACCACGCCCCTCTCTCCTCACACAATGACGTCACCGCTGGCGGTTGGGGTTTGTTTATTGAGGGGGGGGCCGCATGCGGGACCCTCCCCCCCTTAAAGGGGCAACGACACAAGGGGGGGGAACCGCGACCGCCTTAAAGGGGCAACGCCCGAGGGGGGTTTCAAACCCGTCTTAAAGAGGAAACGGAGTCTGGGGAGGGCCTCACCTTCGTCTTAAAGGGGCGACGCCCAAAGGTGGTGTCAAACCCGTTCTTAAACGGGCAACGGCGTCCTGGGGGGAGCCCACCCCCGGTCTTAAAGGGGCAACGGCAGGGTGGGGACCGCGACCTCCTTAAAGGGGCAACGCCCAAAGGGGGGATTTAAACCCGTCTTAAAGGGGCAACACCCTCCTGGGGGATCTGCCCAGGCCTCAAAGGGGTAACGCCAAGTAGGGACCACCCCCCCGTTCTTAAAGGGGCAATGTCCCCCCCGAAGCAGACCCCCCCCACCGGGGGGTGGAGCTTGCAGCGGGAGGGGGCGGGGCGATGGGGAGAGGCCCCGCCCACCGGCAGAGGTGGCCTCGCCCCTCAGGGGGGCCCGGGGGGGGCTGTTTGGTCCTTCCTGAGCTGGGCCAGTTCCTGGGACAACGATTCCAGGTCCTGGGGAGGAAGGGGGAGGGAACGAGGGGGTCAGAGGCCACGCCCCAACACCGATCACGCCCACTGACCCCACCCAAATCCCACCTCAGGCCCCTCAGCCGTACCCCCAAGCCCCATCCCCCAGCTCCCCCAAAACACTCCCAGTGACCCCCCTGTCATCCCAGTAACCCCCCCAGTGCTCCCAGTAACGCCCAGTGACCCCAACGACCCTCGGGTGACCTCCCAGTGCTCCCACTGACCCCCCCCAGTGCCTCCCAGCGCCCCCCCACCGGGTGAAGCCCCGCCCCCAGACAAAGCCCCGCCCCCTCACCTGCGCCAGGTGCAGGTTCTTGGTGAGCTGCTCTTCCAGAAGGTTCTGCAGCTTCTTGTTCATCTCCCGCAGCCCCTCCTCCCCCGGGCCCCCCCGGCGGGGGGTGGGAGCCGAGGGGGGAACCGCCTCTGGGGGACGGGGGGGGACAGGTGAGGGGACAGGGGGACAGGTGAGACAGGGGACAGACAGGGGGGACAGGTGAGGGGACAGGGGGACAGGTGAGACAGGGGGGACAGGTGAGACAGGGGGGACACACAGGGGGGACACACAGGGGGGACAGGTGAGGGGACAGGGGGACAGGTGAGACGTGGGTAAACCCATGGTGGACAACAACAGGTTTACAGGGGGACACAACAGGTTGGTGAGACAGGGGGGACACACAGGGGGGACACACAGGGGGGACAGGTGAGACAGGGGGGACAGGTGAGACGGGGGACAGACGGGGGGACAGGTGAGGGGACAGGGAGACAGGTGAGGGACAGGGGGGAAACACAGGGGGACAGGTGAGGGGACAGGTGAGGGGACGGGGGGACAGATGAGACAGGGGACAGACGGGGGACAGGGAGACAGGTGAGACAGGGAACAGACGGGGGGACAGGTGAGGGGACAGGGGGACAGGTGAGACAGGGGGGACAGGTGAGACGGGGGGACAGGTGAGACAGGGGGGACGGGGGGGACAGGTGAGGGGATGGGGGGGACAGGTGAGACGGGGGGGACAGGTGAGACAGGGGGACAGACAGGGGGGACAGGTGAGGGGACAGGGAGACAGGTGAGGGACAGGGGGGAAACACAGGGGGACAGGTGAGGGGACAGGTGAGGGGACAGGGAGACAGGTGAGGGACAGGGGGGAAACACAGGGGGACAGGTGAGACAAGAGGGGACACACAGGGGGACAGGGGACAGATGAGACGGGTACAGACGGGGACAGGGTGAGGGGACAGGGAGACAGGTAAGATGGGTGGGACAGTGTAGACGGTGGGACGAGGTGAGACATGGGGGACCAGAACAGGGGGACAGGTAGGGACGGGGGGACAGTGAGACAGGGGGCAGACAGGGGGACATGGAGGGGACAGGGGGACAGGTGAACAGGGGGGACAGATGAGGGGGACAGGTGAGGGGACAGGTGGACAGGTGAGAACAGGGGGACAGACGGGGGGACAGGTGAGGGGACAGGGGGACAGGTGAGACAAGGGGGACACACAGGGGGGACAGGTGAGGGGACAGGGGGACAGGTGAGACAGGGGGGACAGATGAGGGGACAGGTGAGGGGACAGGGGGACAGGTGAGACAGGGGGGACAGATGAGGGGACAGGTGAGGGGACAGGTGAGGGGACAGGTGAGATGGGGGGGACACACAGGGGGGACACACAGGGGGGACAGGTGAGGGGACAGGGGAGACGGAGAAGGGGACAAGGGGGACAGGTGAGATGGGCCAGGTGGGATAGCTGAGGGGGGCCAGGTAGGATGGGTGAAGGGACAGGTGAGGTAGGACAGGTGTGACAGGTAAGGGGGGGGATCCTGGGGGTCTCACTGGGCTGACTGTCCCTCCAAAAGCTCTGGATGGTGGCAGAGGAGGGGACACAGGTGGGACAGGTGGGACAGGTGAGGGAGCACAGGTAGCACAGGTTAAGGGTACAAGTAGGCCAGGTGAGACAGGTAGGACAGGTGAGGTAGGCCAGGTGAGGTACCCCCGGGGGTCTCACCCAGCCGGCTGTCCCTGACGAAGCTCTGGATGGTGGCAGGGGAGGGGGCACAAGTAGGACAGGTGAAGGGTACAGGTGGCACAGGTGTGACAGGTAGGACAGGTGGCACAGTTAGGACAGGTGAGGTAGGACAGGTGAAGGGTACAGGTGGCACAGGTAGGACAGGTGAGGTAGGACAGGTGAAGGGTACAGGTGGCACAGGTAGGACAGGTGGCACAGGTAGGACAGGTGAAGGGGACAGGTAGGACAGGTGTGACAGGTAGGACAGGTGGCACAGGTAGGACAGGTGAGGTAGGCCAGGTGAGGGGTCTCACCCAGCCGGCTGTCCCTGACGAAGCTCTGGATGATGGCGCTTTTCCGACACAGGTCCTCGGCCATGGAGGCGCTCGACACCTCCAGGTGCCTCACCTGGGGGCAGGGACCAGCCCCCAGGTGAGGCCACGCCCCCCTGTGCCCCCCCTGTGCCCCCCGGTGCCCCCCTGTACCTTCTCCTGGAGCAGCCAGCGCTCCTGCTGGCTCTGGGCCAGGCGCTGGAACAACTTGGACCCCAGGTACCCCCCATGCCCCCTGGTGTCCCCCCATGCCCCCTGTGCCCCCCCATGCCCCCAGTGGTCCCACATGCCCCTGTGGCCCCCCACATGCACCCAGGTACCCCCCATGCCCCCTGGTGTCCCCCCATGCCCCCTGTGCCCCCCCATGCCCCCAGTGTCCCCCCATGCCCCCTGTGCCCCCCCATGCCCCCTGGTGTCCCCCCATGCCCCCTGTGCCCCCCCATGCCCCCCATGACCCCTCAGTGTCCCCCCATGCCCCCAATGTCCCCCCATGCCCCCTGTGCCCCCCCATGCCCCCTGGTGTCCCCCCATGCCCCCTGGTGTCCCCCCATGCCCCCTGTGCCCCCCCATGCCCCCCATGACCCCTCAGTGTCCCCCCATACCCCCTGGTGTCCCCCCATGCCCTCCATGACCCCCCAGTGTCCCCCCCATGCCCCCAGTGTCCCCCCCATGCCCCCAGTGTCCCCCCCA